TGTTTGCTGAACAGAGCAGGTGGCTGCTCATCCCTTGGACTGTTGCCTGCCGTGCACCTGAGCCCAGCACCAGCCTCTGGCCCCAGGAGAGGCATCAGCGCTGGCAGCACGTGTTCCCCGTGCTCTAGTGACACTCAGCATCCCTCTCAGGGGCCCCCAAGCAGGGCCCCTGCCCACGAGCTGCCCACATTCTGCCTGTCAGAGAGGCAAGGTGACAAGCTTGCTCATCCTCCGGGTCACCTCCATGACCGGCCCCCAGCAGAAGGGCCTGGCAGGAGAGCTGGGCACCCATGGTGCACACCGAGGCTGCCTCCTCGCCGTGGCCTCCCTCAGGGGACGTCACCCGCTAAGAAGGCAGTGACAGGCAGTGAGGGCCCAAAACCAGCAGGCGAGTGAGCACTCAGGCCTATTTAAAGAGCACGGAGAAGGCAGAGATTCACTACTGCGGTATGCTCACCGCACCCCAGACCTGCCGGCTGGACTCCAGGTGTCCTCTGGGTGCTGGCTGGGCTGTTACCACAAGTGCCCCACTCCACGGGGGTGTCCTGCTTTCGAGAACAGCATGCCCATGTGAGCCAGAGCGGAGGCTGCGTCGTCGAGGCCTGCGGGGCCGCACAGCTGGGGCGGCTTCTGCCGCATCCGACAGCTGTGGTGAGAACCGGAAAGCTGAGCTCTTCCTCCCGGGAGCTCAGAGCCTTCGTGCTGGCCGTGCCGAGGGACAGCCCCGCAGCCGGGAAGCGGATGCACCTTAAGCATATGTAAATATGTGCACACAATGCTTGCAATGCGGTTCTTCTGAATTTTGATGGACAGCCATTAAACACGTTTTCCAAGAACACATCGTTGCCTGCTCCTTGCACCCAGGCACAGGCACCGGCCTCTCCCTGCGGGGTGGCAGTGCTTTCTGCTCAGGAATCTTGCCACCCAAAAGCTGCCTGCCCAGGGAGCGCTGCGGGCTGCGAGGGGCCCCGGGAAGCGGGAAGCGCAGCTGGCTTCGCCACCAGCGGAGAGCACACAGCAGCTGCTCTCAGCAGGAGCCGCCCGGCTGAGCTGCGTCCCCGCGGGCGATGTCACAGCCCTCAGTCCTGTGCCTGAGGCCGAAGTCCTTCAGGCTTCTAACCTAGGAGAATGAGGAATCCAGCTTCCTGGGCAGCCAGAAAGCACTCCTCCCTGTCACGCCTGCCGCTTTCCCTGTCGCCTGTCCCTAGTCGCAGAGGTGGGCCTGCATCACTCTGCCGGCCCTCCTGGGGGCAGCCTTGGGTAAGCTACTGTTGTAGGCAGCTAAATTAAATAGAAAATATAGGCAGTCAGACAGGGCCAGGCCCTCAAGGAGACAAGATGGAAGACAACAAGGTGACTTGGCAACTTTGGGAGAGACAGACACTCCCACTGCGGGCCACACCTCAAGACAAAAGAGTAAGCAAATGCAGCCACTTACTTCCCTCGGGATGGGCATCAGGGATTGATATTTTAAACAGGTATCAATCACCTTGAAAGAGCCCTATTGAGTCACTAGCCCAATCCCCAACAGGAAGAGACCCTGTTCCGAATTCGTGCCGCTTGCTATGTGACTCGCTTTCCCATTAGATACTGGATTTAATCAATTTTACCTGAGCAATGGTGCTTGTAATCTCATTGGTTGACCATAGTT